GCCCAACATCCAATAGATGTTATTCTTATATGTACATTTATGTGTTGATCAGTTAATACCAGTTTGATGGTGAGTACATGTGGTGCTTGTCTTTCCACACAAATTTTTTTAAAGAAAACCTGTTCTTTCGAGCTAACATTCTATCAGATGATGTACCCAGAGCTCTTCACTTGGTTCTTGACCCACAGTAAGAGATCAGTGAACTTCAACTGTCATTCTTGTTGCTGTCATTGTCGTCGTTGTCGCTGATGTCATCCCCTCTGCTCCTGTCCAGTTCGACACGAACGGGGATGGGGAGATCACCCTGGCAGAGTTGCAGCAGGCCATGCAAAGGCTCCTGGGAGAGCAGCTCACCCCGAGGGAGATCTCCGAGGTTGTCCAGGAGGCTGACGTTAATGGAGATGGCACCGTTGACTTTGAAGGTGACGTTGCAGCAGGGCAGCCACTGCGGGAACCCACTTCCAGCTCCCCCTGTGATTTTCTCCAAGTTGGCCACTGCTCACTCTTTCCCGAGTTTGAGCTGGGATGGGGATGGCTGGTCATGGAAGCGTTTGTTCCATCCCTTTCTGCCCAGGCTGGTTCAAAGAGCTCAGTGTCTCTCACACCTGGTGCCTCCGAGGAACGCTTTGCCCAAGGCCCTTCCCTACCTGACCTCAGGATCCCCTTCCACCTCCCCCATTCTGTCCTAGTTCACAGGAACAAAACGTCCCTCACGGAGGGTGGACTGGCTAGCGGCTGGGACTCCGGGGTCAGGTTCATGGGCTTCCAATTCAGGATCATCTCTTCCTCAGCAAGTACTCTCCTCCTAGTCACGTCCTCTCTTTGAGTGTCCGTTTTCACATCTCCAAAATGGGATCGACGCTAACACCTTTCTCTCAGAGTTTTGGAGAAAACTAAGAGAAATCCTGCGCTAAGCACCACTTTTTTGTATTCTCCTTCTCTGTCACTGTTCATGCCATCTTACTGTCTGGAACACCCTTTCCTCTTTCCCCGGCCAGCTCCTAGTGACGCTCCCAAAAGGTCCCCCCACCCTTACTGGGCTCAGTGTCTCTCTTCTGTTCTCCGTGACAGTGCCCCGTGGTCACCTCTGCAGGAATATCGACCCACGACCTCTCCATTGCTTATCATAGTTTATTGCCTGTCTCCTTCTGAGGCCAAGGTCTAGGTCTTTCATCGTCACATCCCGAATTCCTAGCACAGAGCTCAACACATGTATATTGAATCATTAAGTAAATTAAAGAGACCAGAGTTCTGTGTTGATGGGAGGTGGGGATCATTTTAGTGGGAGGGATACCTGGGGCACATCAAGTTCTAATTGTGGCACCCTCTGGCTCAAAGATCTCAGCGTCTATCTGTTGCCCATAGACAAAACTCCAAAGTTCTTAGTCTGCTATCCACGTCCATCCATCATCTGGCCCCACCCACCCACCTAGCCTGTATCTTCTGTAACCATTCTCTGGACTTTTATGTCCTAGTGCAAACTTGGTACCTGTTCTGGGTTCCCCAGCTTCTGTTCCTTTGCACCTGACGTTCTGTCCACTCGTCACACCTTTCAGTCTTACTCGTCCCTCAGGAACTCACACCAAGGCGGCCTTTGCTAGGAAGCTTCCCTTCACCTTTAGCTGTGAAGTCTCGCAGAAGTTTCTGGTTCTTTCCATGGGAGTTATCACCACGGCAGATCTTGCTGTATTGGGCTGCGTTCGCCTCCGTTCTGGATGGCAGCGGAGGAGTCTTCCCTAAAC